CACCGATGCCGTGCGCCGTGTCCCAAAATCCCGTGTTGCGTCCGGCATGTTGTGCGTCTCCGTATTGCGAGACTCCACGTCGTAATGATCTTTACGGTTTATGTTAGTGTTTCTCGGCTTTTGTGTCACTTGTTTGTCAGAATACAGTCCCTGTCCTTTTTTTATTCGTATGTACACAATTCGTCCAAATGCAGGAAGCCGATATATGTACGTACGGTTGGAGGCGGGATGGCCCTTGGAGTCAAAGCTGCGCGTCGCATACGTTACAACCCGTGTCCTCGATTTTGTCTCTTCCTCTGCCCAACACAGCACATCCCGATCTGTTGTGTTACCACACGCAAGGCAAGCCTCATATTCCCGCCCTGGATCCTTTTCCTGATCACTGGCAATCAAAGATCCGTGCCTGCGACCCGAGTTTGGAGCTTTGCGCTTTGGGCCTTGACTTGGTAATCGGATCGAGTCCCCGTGTGCAAATCAGGCACCAGAAATGCGACGCTTGTTCCCCCGTCCGACGCACGTCGCAAACGAATGCACACCAGCGTTTTCGGGTCAGTCGACAACAACGCAGCTGGAATCAGACTGCAGGCAGCAATCCGCCCCCATCCAGGGTTTTACAGGCTGCGCCTCGGGCAAGTCAGCACAAACCGCGTGTTGCGTTACAGGGCGTCGTTGTCGGGCAGCGAGCGAGGTACTTGCAAAACGAGACACAACCCAATCCTGCCTGCGGATTACTTCGTACTACGGAGGCCAAATGACCAGCATCGTACGACCAATACTACCAAGTATGGACGCCGGGGCCAGCCTCTCACACCCTCACACCTCGGACACTTGAGGCGAGCACTGACAGATTCGATAGAGTTAGTGGCGGGTATCAATGAGAAGTGAAAGTTGCTTGCGCAAAATACAGCCGTATGCAGAAGTAAAGAAATAGCATGAAATCATGAGCTGCAATCATCGCATCTCCATGTTTCCTCCCGTCTGGCCCTTCCCTGCAATCCCGACCAACGAAAAGGGGAAGTGGCGACAGACTGCCGCCGTACGTCGTACTCCGTATTCCGCGAAGGTGCCTGCCGGAAAGGGGACTCGATGCGTCAAAACCTTGCTTCTTGCCCCATGCTCGCCTGAAATGTGTTTTGTAACGGTTTTTGCCCTCAAAACAGTACCTTACCACACCATCGCCCCTGCCTGGTCAGTGCCATCTTCACCGAGACGAGACGAAATTCATGCCTGCCCCCGAAAGTCCTGTGCAAAATGCGTGGCTCGATTCTTCCTTCCTAACGAGGGTTTGTCGCCACGTTCTGTTGTTCTTCCCCTATTGTTCTTGTTGGACCTTTCGGTTCCACATCCACACCCCGTGGAGCCATTGCCGGCCGCCAGCTGATAGCGTCCGCTGTTCCTGCAGTAGCGCCGCTCGTGAATGGGAGAACGCTACCAAAGTACATCATCGTACAGACAAGCCCGCCCCATTGGATCGCGCCTGCTCTTTGGGTACCACAACAGGGAGTCAGGACACAACTCTAATAAAGGAAACTGTGTTTGTGATAGCGTCGCTCGTCCGTTCCCTGGTGCATCACTCATCCCTTCCCAAATCCCAGTATCTCGGGCTTCGCCCCTTCCCATTCGAGCTGCTGTTGGACAGAAGAGGTAGGAGTGACCGAATGAAACAAGGGAGGCAGGTGCAGGATTGGGTGGGAAAGGAAGGAACCAAAAGGGGCCTCCAATTATGTCTCTTGTCTTGTCGCCCTTGCTTGGATTGCTATTTTTGCCTCCTCAACCCTTTTCAAGCACACAAAGCACAGGATGCAAAGTTGCCAATGAGTACGAGCCGCCGCCCATTCTCACACAAGCACCGCCCAATACACGCCTGTGCTTCGTCACGAATCTCCATCGTTCAACACGATACTGTTGCCAGCCAATGCGGTCGAAGCACACCCCCCTTGTGATGGGTGATACAGTGTCTTTACCTCCTGGCTGGTTAAGTATCTCATGAAGCATGCGCAACAGAGGCCACTCCTCTCGCAGGCACCCCTTTCCTCCTGTCGACGTTCCCTGCTTTGCTTTTCTTTTTCGACCTATCAAATAACTGATCGTCCAAATCCAAGTCGCCGAATTCCCTCCAGTCGAGCTGGACGGCCTACAGGATTGAAACGAGCCAACCGAACAGTAGGAAACTGACGCAGCTCGCGCATACACCATCCTCCCCATTCCATTGCATGCGCCGCCCATCATGTGATGAAACTTTCAAGCGACCCAAGCCTGGCCGCATGCTTTTCATTCGACACGCATTTCGCGCCTCTGCAACATGGACGACTCACACATCGCAGACCACCACCAACAGATTGGTGATTCTAAGCTCCCGGGGGTGAGAAAGTCTCGTTACCGAGCCATTCTCATTTGTTGTAGTTGGGGCTGGTCAGGCCGAAGCCCTGTGCTCAGGACTGCGCCCAAGCACTCGTCTCCAGGGGCAATACGGAACACGGTGTGGCTTCAGGCCACGGCGCTCAAAAATATTTCCATACTGATTGCTTACCCTCAAGTCTCACCCCCCCCTGCTCCGCTCCCAGGAAATCTAAATTTCCTCCGTTGGATCCAATCGGCCGGGAAGACCCTGTTCGATCCACTCCGGAGAAGGGTCCGAATGGAAAAGACAGCAGAAAGTCCACTGTTCACAGGGGCTCTTCAGGCTCATCCAGGCACCCCCATTCACACGCAGCTGCTTCTTTTGGCTGCAACCCCTTTTTGTTGCTCACTTCTCATATTCTGATCCCTTCCCAAGAAAAACTTTTTCAGTGGGGCCCCTGCCACGCTTTTCATCCTTCCTGGGCAGGTCTTGCGTTGTCTCTGCAGGGGGGGGGGAATGCGCGGGGACCTCTGAAGAGTTCAGAATACCTTGAATGCTTCAGCGTCTATGTCAACTCGAGGTGAACAACATCTCCAGCATGCTCACCGCTCCGCTAGCTTTCACCTTGCCCTACATCCTGGCGGGCCAGGCTGTCGACGCCCTCCTGCATATGGTGTCCATCCGAACAATCTTAGACTGTGCATTTGGAAACTCCACCCCGTCCTAACAAGGGCCTTTCTCGTCAACAACAGTACACTGATGTCTCGCATCCGCGCAGCTATGTACGAACTGCGGCGCTCACAGATACGAATCCTACCACACGCGCGCCAAATGTCAACCTGAGCACACACCGTTACACACCCACCTACAGGAAAAGAGCCGGCGCGCGCACACGGGCCCGCTTGCCATGTCCGCTTTCTCGGCAGTGATCCCGGTTTCCGATCTGCAAGCCAAAAAGAGACAAAAAAAATTGTGAGTACGGGACGGGAGAGCAATGCTCAGACCCTTTCTTGGACTTTCGGTTCCATTTCGAGGCCATGCTCGTCTTTTTTTGACCGCCCCTAGGACTGGTTTTGGATGTCTTTCTTCTTCCTCATCTGATGTTCAGCAATGCCTTCATGCAAGGCCAAGGTGAGGGTCTCTGGCCCAGGGCTCGGTGTCTCTCTTGATTCTGAGAACGCCACAATGCCACGTCTCAGTGTCATGTTCAGACTGGGCTCTCTCCATCGTTGCTCGCCCTGCTTCTCGGTCTTCCCTCGACTTGCCTGGGGCCGGGGAAGATATCCGCGCACTTTTGAATTAAGTGGTCCACTACGGTCCACTTTGGTCCCCTGTCAAGGTCAGTTAGCGTCGACAACGGCTCGCCCAAACGTCCTGTTCTTGGTCCATCTTGGTCCATCCTTATGCGACATGCTGGAGGTGACATTGGGCCCGAGACCGTGACAGCCTGCGACGCGTTCATGAGGAACAGAACAGCGGTTTCCTGTTCGCCCATCGACAAGAACTTTCGCCAATTTCATACGAAGTACACGGGACCGGACCCAGACCGGTACCAAAGTACCCAAGCACGAATTGACAGATGAGTTTACTTCATATTGAGCCCACAAGAAGCCCGGCAGCCAGGCAGCCAAGCTCTGTTGTGGAGTTGCACACACCCACAAGTCAAAGCTTTTTTTTTTAATGAAGGTCAACTCGCACACCCCAACCCCCTGTAGTCCAGCCGTTTCGGAAGCTTCTGTGTTCGTCGAAGCCGTTTCCCGATCAGGAAATCAATTTTACCAAAGCAACACGGGAGGAACGACACAACCGGAGCCAGCGCCCTTCCAATCCGTGTTCTCTCCGTCTTTTTTTGTCAATTCCAATGGTACCCTAGGCCGCATTAGGAATCGAACGCGGGAAGACAAGAACACGCCTATTCTTTTCGATTTCTTCCTTGCAGTGACCTCTTTCGTGTTTGCCTCAAACGACCGTTGTGTGAGGTAGCATTTTAGGGATATGGGGAGGCCAGGGCACTGAGGCAGTCGTTTTTGCTTCCCGCCTCCCACACGTGGACTCTCCGTTCGGACTCGCTAACCGCAATGCTTGTGCCGACAGGCTTTTCACGAGCTCATTCCATCCAGACCATTTGATCGCTTCACTATGTTGTACACACCCGTGCTGTGGAGCTATCCCGGTACTTGAAGTACACATTTGATGTTCTCTGGTCTTCATTGCGGGCTCTGTCAAAGTGGGCAGCCGAGCCCCCCGTCTGTTTCCCACGCGACATGATCTGCAACATCAAAGGAGTCCAACGACGCTTTCCGGACTGGGTAGTAATACGATGTTGCGATGTACCTTCTGTTCATGTTCCCACCAACCTCGCAATTTCGGTGGGGAGGTAAATGTGACTCCGACAGTTACACAGACTCAGACAACCATGAGCACATGGTGGTCTCCACGGCAGCTGTTGCCACTACCGCTTAATCTTGACGTGCCACCTTTCCCCATGGGCAAGAAAAGCGAGTGGTCGTTTTTTCAACACTGTGAGCCGTGTCCCATTTGAAATGAAAAGTTTGCTTCCCGTGCGGGCAAGTTTTACTCGCCGCGAGAAGAATATGAAACGCAGCATGGTTCGATTCAGAAAGAGAGAGACCTTTCGTGGAGAGAAGACATCCGTATCATGGCGCTCAAGACTCCTTGGCGACAGGTGCAGAGTTTTCCCCTCTACGAAGTAGTTGCGATCCTCCTTCCAAGTCAACCATGTGCTGACAGGGTCTCCTATCTCCACTGGAGTATTCTGCACATCGAAATTACCCCTAATACCGACAACTTCTCGGTGTCAGCGTCCCCCGTGCCGAAGCGCCCACCCCAAGGAAGGTCGGTGAGTGGCCTAGCCCTTTGCTCTCGGTGAAGCAAGCGGGTCGCAAGGTGTGCGGTATTTCGCAAACCAAGCGCTGGAGAACTGGGCGTGTGGTAGGTGCTGCACAGAGTATTACTCTTTATACAGAGCGTGCAGCATACAAAGCGTGCAGAATGTATCGTCTGGTGTGTGTGGGTAGCCGGTTGCGTCGCGCTGAAGGTCCGAGGCCATGTTCCATACGCTGAGGCTAGACGGCGCAGCCTCTTCATGCCCTCCATGCTTTATGGCAACACATACCGCGTGAGTCAATACACAGATTCTTACCACGGGATGTGAAAATGGATTATATATGAAAGAAACCAAAAGAACCGTGTTCCGTGCATACGCGACGTGTGGGCGGACCGAATGAGCCGGGCATTTAGCATTCTTGTTATTTTGTTGTTGTTGATTTTTGCGTTTTGGGGGGGCTAGCCTTCTCTACGTCACCCTCTTTTCTTTTGATTGCGGGCCGCAAACGAAGGTTCGGATTATACCAGGCGGCTTCCATCGCGGCAAATGATGGGCTAAGCATGGTCCAGCCTGGCCAGAGAATATACATTGCGTCCAGGAAAGACCGAGGACATAATATCCCCAATCCAACATAGACTCGACTCTCCACGTTCGCAACAGGCCACAAATTCAAGTCTTCCTCCGTCCTCCTTTGTCTTTTATTGCCCCATTCTCGTCCCCAGTGAACAAGAAATTACGGCGACGCGTCAGTCCGGGGTTGACAGGGGCGTTTCGAGATAAAAGGACATGGTCAGGCTTGCTCTGCCGTGCCGTGGTTCTCGATGCCACTTTTGCTGGGGGGTTGCCGTCTGTTGCCGGACGTGATCAAATCGCAATCCAGAAGAGTCGACTATTCACGCCACTTTGGTATACGACATACACAGCGGTCAGTTTGGGGAGCGCCTTGGATGGGTGTGCGAATGTCGGTTGGCTCGTCTACGGTAACACTCGAGATGAGGTCAGATGTCGCTCTTATCCCGTGGATGTGTGTTGCATGGTTGGCGCACGGAGGCTATCATAGCGCAGACACAACTGCCAGGCGGCAGAGCAAGGAGGACAATAAAGCAAAAACTCGGCAGTCACGTATGCTTCACTCGTAGTGGAAATGGGAATTTCATCTTTCCAAAATCGGTGTGTCTCTCGAGCTTTGTAGTGGTTTTATGTTTTGGAGAGCGATCGCAAGAAGTTCGACGAGACGGAATGGAACGTAGATCCTGATGCGTCCACTTGATACGCAGTCACCAGCCTTCCTTGATGGTCGGAAATGTGAATATTTCAAGAAAAGGTTTGATTTTCTTCGATTTTTTAACGTACTTCGAAATAAATAATAATAAGTAAACAAATCCAAATAAAAACTTATATACGGATGCGCTACGCAATTTGCGACGTGACAATAAGGGCGGGGAAAACCACCAAACATTTTGTGAATAAAATATGAATTAAAAACATGAACCAAATAATTACAAAATCGATTACACGAACAACAACGGATGAAAAGCTGACTCACGAGACTCACCGTGATCTGCACGGGAACGCATCTGCCGTATCTTGCATCCTTGGTTCGTTATGCCCCTTCATGATGGGACGAAGTCGCAACCGCGATCGCATTGCATGAACTGGGGTGATCGACGCCGACGAGACTTTCTCGGAGAAAGAACCATACCAAGAGACGAAAACAAATATGAGACGAGGAAAGACAGTTCTGTAATGCGCAATGGAGTGTCTTGGCTGTCAGAACAGCGAGGTGGTAAGCACCAATGGCGATGATGTCTATTACAAAAGTTGGTGTTGCTTTTCGGTATTATTTCAGGTGGCATATTCCTTCCCGCCGCATCCGATAACACCGTGTGACCGCACCACCTGTGGTTTAGACGGTCAGCTTCGCATCCGCCTTGGCCGGCCGCACACCAAAGATGGTGCTGCCGATGCGCACCTCACCGCTGCCCGACGCCACGGCGCTCGCGAAATCGTCACTCATGCCCATGCTGAGCTCGAGCGGTGCCGAAAGGCCCAGCGCCTTGGTCACCAGGTCCCGCTGCTCGCGCAGCGCCACAAAGTCCGGGTTCTCTTCGGATGCGTCGACCGCCACGGCCTTGCTCCGTGCAATGGCGCCGATGGTCATGAGACCGAGCAGCTTGAGGTTGGGGCACTCCTCGACGATGGTGCGGCATAGCGCCACGGTCTCGTCGCCCGGTTCACAGCCGGACTTGCTCTCCTCGCCCGAGGTGTTGACCTGGACATGGATGTGGATGGGACCGACATCGTCGCCGCCCGCGGCATCGTTGCGGAACGCGCCCCGCGCCGTGTCCAGAAGCTTGGCCTTCTTGGCCGAGTCGACGCTGGAGACGCACCACAGGTTGCGGACACGGGCGAGGCTCTTGCAGTGGCCTGTGACTGGTTAGACAAACCGACGACAACCGACGACATGCCAGTTTGGGCGGCGGGTGGCGTTTCCGCTGACCGCGGGAAGACGTACCCGACTGGAGACCGCCGATAAAGTGCCATTGGATGCTTCGTGGCAGCAGCGCCGCCTTGTCGCGCAGCTCCTGCGCATAGTTCTCGCCAAAGTGCAGCTGGCCTTCCTGTCCCGTGCTGGTCGGCTGGTGCAGCGCCAAAATGTCGTTGGCCGGTTTGAGCTTGCTGACCGCCACCAGGCGGACGTTTAGTGCCGCCGAAGACGGTGATGCCGAGATAGCCGCAGCAAGCCTCTCCTTGACGGCCGCGAGGTTGGCCACCAGCGCGGCGGTACGTGCTGGATCGACCTTCATCTCCGTGGGCGGCGCGGCGGCGGCAGCAGTGTTGTCGTCTCCCATTGGCACCGTTGTTTGGAGTGTGAATGTTCCTCGAGCGGTTCTCTACCAGGCGGCGTAGACCGTCCTTGCCGTATTACTTAACAAAGAAAATACGTTGGTGTCGTAGAATATGAGAAGGTGGCGTGGGTCCGACTCACATTCATCTAAAAAGGTTGACGATGCGGGTTTGCTGCGGTTGGTTGGTGACGGGATGATGTTAGCTTGAGCCTTGCTGTAGGCGGTCACGTGCCGCAACATTACACACAAGCCAAAAGACATATAAAACACACCAGATCCAAAATGAAGCAAATATCTATTTTTTGAAATGCATTAGAGTACAACCAGACACCCCAGGCCCTCTGGCAGCGGCAAATGCCCTTTGGGTACATGTGTCCTGTCCAGAATCCCGCCAAACAGCACCGTGCTGTTCCTCCAGAATGCTGCGACGCTCAAAATTCTATATCCAAATGCCAGGAAAGATGGGACAAAAATAAATCTACAAGTATCCAAGAGTACAAGAACGAAAGTAGAGCGACAAAGGAAAGATGTAAAAGCATAGAACTGAATCCCAAAAAAAGCGGACAATGTAAGCGCCGAGAGACTCCGGTATGCTGTCCACTGGTCCACTGCATATATGATGCAAATGGCCTTATCTGGACGAAAGGACGGATGAAGACTTGGGAAATTGAAAGTGGTAAATGGTTTTGAACGGTCAAGCAAAGCAAGCGAACTTGTGCTTGTTATCGTGGACTCAATGGGCTCTTGCCAGGCCCTGCAGCCCGCTTCAATGCGCGCACCTCGTCCTCGAGCTTCCGTCTCTGTGTTTGTTCGTTCTGCGGGTGTTAGTCTTGTGGCTTGTTGTGGCGTAAAGGGCCAAAAAAGCAGTGGGCAAACTCACTCTCAGTTCCTCCTGGAACTTCTTGCGCTCCTCCTTCATCGTCGCCCGGAACTGCTCGCTCAGCATGCTGGCACCGGCGCGCGATGGACCGCCGCCTGACGCGGGTCCCACTTTGAGCTTCTCCGCATCCAGCTCTTCCTTGAGAGCGGCCACGGTTGCCTCGAGCTTCTCGCGCGTGGCGCGGGCCTCGGCGTCGAGCGCGGCCTTCGCGGCGAGGGCATCGTCGAGTTGGGCCTCCAGATCGAGCTTTTCGCGCTCCGCGGCGATCGTATCCTTGGTCAGGTCCTCGTACTCCTTGAGCGTGCTCGTGAGCTCCTTCTTCATCTTGTCAAGCTGCGTCTGCAGCTCCTCGTTCTCGGCCGACTTGGAGTAGGCCGCCACGTCCTTGGCGCGTTGTGTCCGTGAGCCGTACGCGCCCTCGAGCTCTGCCTTGGCAATCGTGGCTTCCGTCTTGAGCTCCACTACCATGGCGTTGAGGTTCTCGAGCTCGGCGTCCCGGTCCTGCACATCCTTGGCCGCCTGCGCGGCGTTGGCGGCTGCCGCATCGCGTGCCTCAGATGCCTCCTTGAGCTGGGCGGTCAGGCTGGCCACGTTGGCTTCGGCCGTCGCCACGGCCGCCTGCATCTGCGCGCTCTGCTTTTCGAGGGCAGAGAGCTTGTTTGTGCGCTCCGACAACTGCTGCTCGATCGACCGGCTGGCCGAGGACACCTCGGCGTCCTTCTTTGCAATTACCTCCTGGGCCTCGCTCAGGTCTAGGAGTGTCCGTGCCAGCTGGTCCTGTGCCTCCTCGGCCGCCCGCTGTGTCTGCTGCAGCTCGACTGTCTTGTTCTGCAGGGCAGCGGCCGTCGTCTGCAGCTCGGCCATCGTTTTCTGGAGCTCCTCATCCTTCTCCGCGTCCGACTTGTTGTTGAGCTCGCGCTGCTGCTTAATCTGCCGCTTGAGGACCGACTTGTGCTCGCGCAGCTTTGTTGTCTGCGAGTACAGCCACTGCACCTTGGCGGAGAAGGCCTGCAGCGAGTACGTCTCGCTGGGGCTCATGGGCGACTCGTCGCCTGAATCGTCCTCCTCGTCGGCGCCGAGGCCCATGGATGCTCTGGATGCCTTGCGCTCCTCGCGCTTCCGCTGCTGCTCGGCGAAGCCAGACTGCATTATGTCCCAGAGGCCCGCGAGAACCGTGTCTGCTTGCTCAGCTGCTTGCTGGCTCGAAGCGGATGCATTGGTCGCCTCTGCCGCGCGGTCGACTTCCTTTTCGATCGTGGGCAGGACATCCTCCAGCCAGTTGAGCTGGCTGCCCAGGCCCGCACTAGAGCTGCTTCCAGACACGGACGGAACCGGCTCTAGAGAAGCAGCAGCCGACGAGACGATGCGCTGCAGCTGGCCATTGACGGCTGCCAAACGGCCTTCGAATTGTGCCAGTGCGCCGCCCAAGTCGGCTTGTCTGGCCGTCGCAGACGCACTCAGCTCCTGCTCTTGCTGTGCCACGCCAAGGCCCTCGGCGAGGTACTGAATTTGAGAGACGAGTCCGTCTCCTGGCTCGTTGCCAGTGCCGGCCGGAGGGCCTTCGTAACCGCCGTTCTTTTTCGGGTTAAACCGGACAATGATCTCGCGGAGGCGGCCGTTCAAGTCTTCGATTTGCCGCTCGGCGTCGGCCATCGACTGGAGCCGCTCGCCGCTTTCTCTCTGTAATGCAGCCAGCTCAAGCCCAACCGAATCGCTCGCAGCACGCAGTTGGTCGCACTCAACCTGCAGTCGAGCGTTGGTGTCCCTCAGGCGGTCGCTCTCTTCGCGGAGCTCCTTTGCTTCTTTCCGGATCGGCGACTTTTGCGGGATCTCAATGGCGTTCTTTCTGGAGCGGCCGGATGGGTCGAATGGTTGGTCGATGGGAAGATACAAGCTGCGGTCGTCGAACATGCTGTCGCTGCCAGCAACAAGCTCCATGCTCTCGCGGCCGTTGGAATACGTGTACATGCTTTCGGGGCTGCCGGGTATGCCGTTGACGGGCAGTGTCGGGCCGTTGGCATTCTTGTTTCGCGGGGCGGCTCGGTGCGTCAGCTGCAGAATGCCCGCCGTGTGCTGGAAGAGTCGCCGTTGCGGCTCCATGAGCTGCTTTTCTAATGTGAACAGCTCTGTGGCCAGTTCTTCGCACCGCTGCTCGCAGGCTAGACGTTCCGCATCGGCATCGCTGCTGCTGCGGTCGCTCACAACGCTCTTCCGCTTGCCTGGCGAGTACAGCTTTGCCATGGAGACGGCGGCATCGCGGTACTTGGACTGGATGGCCAGGTTGGCCTGGGTCTGTTCAATACGCTGTGTGATGGACTGGCACTGCTTTTTCAGGTCGTCCACCTCTTCCTGGGACAGGATGACCCATTCTCGGCTGTCGGACAGTGCTGTTTCGGTGAGTAGATGGACCTGGATCGGGTCCTTGAGGTCGACGAGTGGCGAGCTCTGCGGACGGTCGGCGTTCATCTATTATGGGAGGCAGGTGGTTAGTCCCGATTGCTTGTGCATGTGTCACACAACCGCCCTCCGAGCAGACGGTCAACTCACAGGGTTGTATCGTGGCCGCTCTGCCTCGAATCCGTTCATGATCTCTTGTCTGTAGCCTTTGGCCATGGCGCGACCGGTAGGTACGACGTCTTGGAAGGGTGATGTCTCGTCCGGTCCGAGGCCAAACGCCTTCCTGGCTCCTAGACCATTCATTGTGGCGGGTCGTGTGTCCGTATATCGTCGTCTCGAGCGGCGATGAGGATGCTGCTCTAGTCTGGCGAGTCTAGTCCGATGTGTCTCGCGTCTCTTGTCGTGTAGGCTCCAGTCGGGCACTGGCTGAAGTCCCAACAAGCAAGCGCCACGTATTTTGCGTGCTCGTTAGGCCATGGCAAGACGGCTGCGGCGAGAGAGGACGGATGGGCTTGCAAGGACGACGTCGGCAGTTGGTTCGTGTTCGCGGGACGGGTGGACAGGGGCTCGATTTGGCGGATCGAAGGGGTGTTGAGATACTCAAGGTACGGAATATTTGGCGGCAAAAGGACGATACTATCGAAATGAGCCGTCGCGAAAAGAAAACAATAGCACGGCGTGCGCGGTTACGGAAACACACGACGTAGAAAAATGAGAGAAAATAAAAAAGGAGCAAATGCTTTTGGAGAATCTGAGACCGACGATCCAAGGGGGAGGGGGTTGGTTCGGCGGCCCAATGAGAATTAGCAGTTAGTGGACTACAGGTGCAATCCGAAGGCTCGGCGAGACGCAATGACGAGCGGCCGGCAGTGTTTGCCACGGTTGAGCTTCAGTCGGACAGAAATGCATTTAAAGGGAGAAATGACAATCGTCTTGGACAAAGATGCGCTGCAGACAGTAACCGTCCGGACTACAGACAAAGAAAGAGGTGCTGCGGCTGTTAGTTCCTTCCCTACGATCGAATTCCGCTTTCCCTTTTGGACTCGGGCTTCCGTTCCTTCCTTCTTTGCTTGCTCCCCTGTCGTTCAAGAATTTGCAGCGCTTGACTGTTATTTAATGAAGAGGCGGTTGCTTAAATAGGAGGGTATGGAGGCAGCAACGTTCGGGTTCCTTCCCCATCCTTTCCCTTCTTGGGCGCTTCGCGCCAGGGGTCAAGTTCAGCCAAGGCCGCTGCGGCAGCGCCAGGTTTGTTTTTAGGTGGTGCGGTCCCTGGTTCCTGCTTTTGGCGGCGAACTGCGTATCCACTTTACGCGTCGCTCCTGCACTGTTGTGCCGCCTATGGCACGCAAACCAACCGCGCTAAGCCTGTTCTGGCGCTCAGCTTCCAGTCTCGTTTGGCAGTTCGCTTGCATCTCTCAACTTCTCGAGGGGCAGTCAGTGGAGTCCAGTTTAGGGGCCTTAGGGCCTTAGAAACCTCCCAGAAGCTGCAAGCTGGGACGCACAGTGGTTACGACCTGCCCCTATTCTAAGGTAGGTGAGCCAGCAGGCTCCAAAATGCAGTTAAAGTATGTTGTATGGGAGACTTTGTCAAGAAGCAATTCCTAGTTCGATAACCGAAGAACGCTTTCCCGGTTAACAGAAAGAAACATAAATTCTCAGAATTACAAAAGAACAACAACATACCTCGGATTGCACAGATTGTGATCAGGTATGCGAACGCGCCAGCTTGGCTGGCGTGGCATGCATTATATTGATGATAGTGGAAATTATAGCGCAATTTCGCGCCAAAAATGTCTGGACAGATTGCCATGTGCAGGTGAGATGCGACGGCAAGAACGTGCATTTGACCCAAACGGGAGGGCTCTGCCGGTCAGTCTTGTCGATCAACACCGACTTGTAAAATAGAAAAAAAAAGTTGTCAGCGCGACATGGTTTCTTCCTTGTTTCACTCCATGTTGTGAGCCCCCGTTCCCTCGGCGAGCCCCTGCTGCGCCCTCTTTATGGTGGAGGGGATCGTCACGCGTAAATGAAAGACTGGGATACAAAAACATGCGACGTAATGTCATTCAATACTGGCAATGGATGCCCACCAACTGTGAACTGTGTCACGGTACGCCGCGTCCCATATGTACATCTGCTGGCGTTCTTACGAGCTTGCGCCTCCGGTCTTTCTACCCGCCTCACCGCTTAGATCGGCCCGCGGAACTGGTCCAATATCTGCTGTCCCACGGGCCGCCGGCGACCGGCTGGCCCCTCCGTCTGACTGCCGTCGACACCCGTAGCCGAGCCAGAGGCGTTCTCGCCCTCGAGCCGCCGCCGCAGGCCCTCGAACTCGTCCCGACGCTTCTGCGTGCGCAGGCCGACTAGCCAGCCGGGTACGCGCCACTCAGACAGGCGCCCGGGCAAGACGTCGTTGCGCCACGCGTGGCCCACGATCCAGCCGACGGCCGCCGCCAGGATGGACCCGGGCCACTGGAAGAGCGCCAGCTGTGCCGCGAGAAGGTAGCGGTACGACTTGTCCGAGAACGTCAGGCCGACAAAATTGTCGTCGGCGCCGGCCGGCGGTTGTTCTCCGGACGAGAAGGCCACGCGGTAGGTGTACCGGTGCGGCACGATCGAGTAGTACTGAGCCAGGATGGCAAACACAACGCCCGTTGGGCCGGCGGGGAGGTAGTTGACGCGCCCGTTGGTCAGAACCCGGAGTACAAAGAGCAGCATCGGCGGCACAATGGCCGAGATGAGGAACGTCACGGCGATGAATGACTATGAAAATGTCAGTCGGGAGACTCGTCTTCAGGTGGCGTATACAAAAACCTTAAAAGTTCACACGCCTTTGGGACAGGGGGAGGGAGGCATACCGCATATTTTCTGGACCCCCACATGCGCTCAACGATGCGCATCTGGTAGAGGGTCATGCATGCAAACAAAACCTCCGAGGAGTTTGTATAGCATAGCTGATACGTCAGTGCCCGCCATGTCTGGTGGTACCGGAGTATTTGCGGGTCTACGAGGATGTAAAAGTAGTGCTTGATGTCAAAGAGACTCGCGCCGATGGAGGCTGACGCAAGCCCAAACACGAGGCTGCGGGTGACGGGCGCGTTGGTGAACGACATGGTCGTCGCGGCGGATGGGGAATATGCCGTTGACAAGGAACCGGATCCGGTCGGCGAGTTCGGGGCCCGGTCTTTTGCACCCGTGTTCCGGATGCACTCGTTCGTATTGTGCAGCTAAACGTGTCCGCCCCTGTGCACTATCGACAGATGTGTTGAAGGATGCACGTGCTCTTGACGGAGCTTGACGACGATGTCGCTAGATCGTCCTTCGCTCGAGTCGCTGGATGCAGTTCTTGCAGACGAGGCGTGGCGCGTTCGAGACGTAAATTAAAAAAAAATGGGCGAGGCTGTTCGGGACAGTTTTCCAGCCGTAGATTGGGCGTCCTCGGACAATGGTGACGTTGGTGGTCGACAGGATTGTGATGCAATGCGTTGGTGGTTGCGATGATGTGTTATTTTCGGAGTAAGCTGGTGTCGCTCTTGCCTTATCCGTTATCTGTCAGCGAGTTGTCTGCTGTAGGTGCCATTCTGCCATCCAAAACGGTGCCGCCTGATCAGCCACTAACAGGGAGAATCCGCGCCACGCAAGCGCACTACCACGCCCTTGCCCAGCCGTCACAAGCAAAAAGCGGAAGCGCAAACTGGCCACTCGTCTCTCTTACTCGGGCGTCACTGGCTTCTTCGACCGTTTTTCCATCGTAACCGCGCCGCGCAATCCGCCCTGTCATCCTGTCGCTTCCATCCCAGGCGGCCATTTTTTACCAGTTTCATTGTCTCCGCGGCACTCGGTCTCATGTACGGGCCTACACCTGCGTCTTGTTAGACCCGCCCGTTTCCGACTTTCGCGAACCGAAAAGTCGTCGAAAACAAAGAGAACAAACAGACGCCACAGCACCAAAAAGGGAGGCAATCACAACCAACAGCAAACCTGCCGGCGCCATGTCGGACCTCTACCTCTCCCACCTCCGCAACTGGATCTTCAGCTCGCCGCCAGCAGAATGGATTACGCACCAGCTGCACGAGCTGGCCATCGGGGCCGCTAAGCAGGGCCCGATCCCCAAGCACATTGCCTTTGTGATGGATGGCAACAGACGCTTTGCTCGAAACCACAAGATTGAAACCATCGAGGGTCACCATCTGGGTTTTGAGGCTCTTGCACGGGTGGGTAGCTCGTGCCATACTATCAGAAGAATGTGCTGGGATGTATTCAAGTTGGCTAACGCTCCCTTCCTTCCGCTAGGTCCTCGAATTTAGCTACAAGTCTGGTGTCGAGGTGGTCACCGTTTATGCATTCAGCATTGAAAACTTCCAGCGACCCAAGTACGAGGTGGATGGCTTGATGGAACTGGCCAAGGTCAAGCTCGAACAGATCATCCAGCACGGCCAGCTGCTCGAGCGCTACGGTGCCAGCGTGCGCGTGCTCGGCCAGCGGGACCTGATCCGGGCCGATGTGCTGGAGGTGGTCGAGCGCGCCATTGACGTGACGAAGAATAACACTCGGTGAGTGCCCATCTGCCCATGGGGTTGTGTTGCCCTCCCTTCCGCTAATGATGCCAGCGCCGTCCTGAACATCTGCTTCCCGTACACGTCCCGCGAGGAAATCACGAGATCCATTCGTACCACCGTGGAGGAGTTCTCCAGCCCCCAGAGCCCGCCACAGCCCAGCACGGCCTTTTCACAGACGCGGATCAAGCAGAAGATCCTGTCCAAGAAGCTCGACAAACCCGAGACGCTGTCTACGATCAGGGAGACGTCCCCGACGCCGTCAATCACCCGGTCCGAAGAGCACGACGGCTCTGTCTCGTCCACCACCACACTGCCGCCCGGCTCACCGTCTCGAAGCACCGGCGGCGGCGACGCGAATGGCTCTGCCGTGCTTCCCAACCCTGAGTCGATCACGGCCGAAACCCTCGACAGTCACATGTACACGGCGGGCGACCCGCCGGTCGACATTCTGATCCGTACAAGCGGCGTCGACCGCTTCAGCGACTTCATCCTCTGGCAGATCCACCAGAACACGCAGATCTTCTTTCTCAAGTGTTTCTGGCCCGAGTTTGATCTGTGGCACTTCCTGCCCGTTCTCATTGAATGGCAGTGGCGCCAGAAGCAGAAGGCGCGGGACGAGAAGCCGCGTAAGCGGAAGCAGCGTTAGGTGGCCGGGCAGAGGCGCGACCACGCCACTGGCCCTGGGCGACATATTGCGGAACGTCAATGTCCTCAAAGTATTATGGCGTTCTTTCAACGGGGACAGCTGAGCATTCCAACGGTGGGTGCGGATGTCTTTCTAATTCGAGCGAGTTCTAATGTTGTGGCCTCGGCTCACACGGCGTTATCTATGTCGCATTATTTGTTTGGTTTCTTTTATATGTCCTGTTATTACATAGCGGTAACATGCGATTTCAAGTTTACTTTTGTTTATGCGACGGATCTACCGAATCTTTTTGTAGACATGGACATGCAGTTCCCTCACAGAACTCTTTGTCTAGAGCACCAATAGCCGTCTTATGATGGCAGTACCTAGCGCGAACCGAGCTCTCTTATCTTATCGCATACTGTGACGTGCACCTATCGGCACGGCCATACATATTCCCGTAGAGTAAAAAGTGGGGCACAGCGGACAGAGGTGGTCTGGCGCGCTGCGCTGCCCCCAAAGTCGGCAAGTGCAACCAGCAGCGCATTGCAAAAAGAAGGTAGCCACACCCCCGTCTACGGCGTACTACTGGGTCGCTCCTCCTGCCTCTCTTCGACCAAAACCCAGCATCCGCGAGAATCTGCTCTCGACTCTCGACTCTCGACTTCTCCTCTGCCCATGACAGATCGATCGTACGGTCCGCACTCGCCAGCTCAATCTGCACATCGACAGCCAGGTAGCTATGCTGTGACCCTGCGCAGACGAGTCCCATTTGTCGAAACGAACCGCGGCACTCCTCCCCTCTTGCTCTGCCTCGCAGCGCTTTGACTTTTCCGCTTTCGCCGCCTCGTCTTTCCTGGGCGTCGCCCTCGAGCCACACCACATTCCCTCTTCGCCAGTCGATGTTTGACTTGGGCTAGTAGTGCATTTCCTCTTTCGTTTCTTATTGAACACTGTGTTTTCGAGCTTCACCTGCTCTTGACGGCTGCTGCGTGACAGCTACCGCCGACGCGTACTGACGCAGCAATCGTTGAGCCGAGACCTCCTCGTTTTCCTTCGAACTCACCCCTCCCCTCCTCTCGTCCTCCTCTGCCGACTCTAGGCACCACTCTCGACCCTCCCTTACTCCCATTCTTCACCTTTGAAAAATGAAGACCTCGAAACCGCCAGCAGCTGCAAGCGACGCGGCCCCCAACAGAAGACAGCCTGTGCGACAGACCAGGACAAACCCGCCGAGGTCGTCTGCCACCACAAGCCGAGCGAGCGGCCGCGATCGCGATGCTGCCTCGGCCGCCGCGCAGGAGCAGCCCATCGACATCTTCCCTGGCGTCACGCACTTTGCCGATGCAATCACTGCGCTCCCCAAGGAGCTCGTGAAGCATTTCACGCTTCTGAAGGAGGTCGATGCAAAGATCAACGTCCCCCAGCAGGCTCTTTTCCAGCTCATCCACACGGCCCTCCGTCAGCCAGTACCCAACACCACACGCTCGCCATATGATGGCACAACTACAGCTCCTCCCAGTGCGCCCGTGTCTGCCCCGATGACGGCGCAAAACAGCAGCACAGGCAGCAACGCCCTCCTTGCCTCAGCCAACGGGCACCCCCCCACCTCCCACCCCTCGAACAACCCTGCCGAGGCCGGCGACTCCCCTGTTGTGCCTGGCTCGGCCTTTGACCAGAGCAATCTGCCGCGGCGGCAGCTCTTCCGCAAGGTTGCCATTGAGATCAAAGAGATGCTGGTCGCGCTCGAGGAGAAGAACCACGTCATCTCGACGGCCAACGATGCGCTCAACAAGCAGCTCGGCCGGATCGACGACATTTGGCCGCACCTGGAAAAGGAGTTTAGCGAGGAGGCCAAATGGGGGAGCAACACCCATTGGGCCTACCCGGAGAACCGCGCGGCCAGCCGCGCCACCAACAATGCCCAGGCTGAGCGCTCCCGCCGCGAGGGCGCCGCGAGCCTTTCGGCAGCTGCGCAGCAGATTGCCGAGGAAGCCGCTGCGCGCAGCGACGCCCGCAAGCAAGCTGTGGCGGCCCGTCGCAGCCAAAAGACCCAGGCGGCCAACAGCCACCAGGACTCCGACGCGGACGATCACCAAAAGGCGGAGCCCAGAAAGTCGGGCGGCGGGTCCAAGTCGCGGAAGACGGCGGCCGACGCGTCTACAGCTAGTATTGGCCTAGGCATTTCCGGCGCGACGGGCGGCGCCGCAGGAGCGAATGGCGCTCCCACATCTGCGCCTAAGCGGCGGAAAGTCGAGAAACCAGCGGCCGCCACCTCGGTGCCAATGGAGCGTGCTCTGAGCGGCGTCTATGGCTCGGCGGCAAGCAATGACAGCAAGGCCAAGACGTCGAGTCCACGCGAATCACCTGCCCCCGACGGCACCGCGAAAAAGCGCAAAGCGCTGCCCGCCGGCGGAAACGCTGCCAAAAAGAGGTACGTTGACGAGTGCTTTATCTCGATTGCGTTATCCTTTCCCCCTTTACCCCAGCTGCCCTGCTCCACCTGAACCTAACTTATTCTTTTCTTTAGTCGCAACGGCGCTTCAGCTGCATCGTCGCCTGTTATCGGCAACTTCCCGGATCCTCCGAAGCTTGGCCGCGCCTCCCCAGCCCCTGCCACTACGTCTTCCAGCAGTCTTCTTGCCCCGCCTGCTACCTTTGAAGCCCTCAGCAAGAGCCCGAGCCACGAAGGCGTTGTGAACGGGGATGCGAGCCCACTGAATACCGTCAGCCAGCCAACCGAGAAGCGGGCTGAGAAGGCCACAGAGTCTTTTGCAGGCAGCAAAACTGGCGACAGCAAGAGGAGTACCCCCGCTCCTGGTGCGGCCAAGGCCGGTGTGCAGGACAGTGCCGATGCTACTACGAGCAGCAGCAGCGCAGCTCCTGCGACGAGTGCTGGCGCCAGCAACGGTAGCAACGCTGGCAGCAATGGTGTCTCTTCTACACCCGTTACGGCACCCGATGCTGTGCAGTCCCGTGAAAGTAACGCAGTGAAGGCTCCTGCCGAAGCTGCCACTCCCTCGGGCAAGAACGCCCCGGGTGGTTCATCTCCAAACACAGCATCCCCAGAGGACCAGAGCGCTGCTCAGCTCAAGGCAGATGACAGCAAGCGGCGCCCGTCTCCTCTTCCACTGTCGACAGATGACAAAACGACCAATGGCGCCAGTGTGTCTGCGTCTGGGTCAGCGTCGGCGTCTGTGGGGCAAGCAAATGGCTCGCGAACACCTGCAGACAAGCCGAGTCGAGAGTCTGCGACCCCGGCCTCGGGCCCGACACCCATCCCCGCCCCCGCGCCCGCTTCAAGCACGACGGCCGTCCCTGCGCCGCCCGTCCAAACTGCCAGCCCGTCCAAGGTGGACACCCTCAAGATCGAGGCAGCGGAGGCGCCCGTGTCCTCTGTGGCCATGACCCGCACTAGATCCGCGGGCGGCCATAGCCACGACCTGAAGAGAGACCGAGACAGAGACGGCGGGGCGTCGTCGGGCGGCGGCAACGCTAAGTCGGACGAGGTGTCTGCAAAGAAGGAGCCGACACCGTCGGGCTCCGTCATGACGATCCAGCCGCCCCCAGTCACGACCAAGAGCGGACGTGCAAGCAAGCCGTCCACGCCGGCCCTGGCGACCTTTGCAGAAGCCTCGTCCTCGTCCCGGTCCAGGACAGCACGTGCGAGTGAGCCCGTGTCGTCGAATGGCAATGGCAGCAGCAGCAGCGGCACCGTGAAGAGGAGCCACAAGAAGGGCGCGTCTTCGGTCTCGTCACAGGCGGCCCACGGCCATCACCGGCGCGAAAGCGCGAGCGGTGCAGGCGACGGCAATAACTCGATTGGTGTCACGGGCCACGGCCACGGCCACAGCCACAGCCAGAGCCACAGTGGCAGCAGCCGTAGTCACCAGTCTCAGCAGCAACAGGCCGCCCAGCAGAAGCTGCAGCAGCAGCAGCAGCAACAGCAGCAACAACAGCAGCAAAGCGGGCAGGACGACGACGACGACGATCCGCTGTACTGCTACTGCGAGCGTGTCAGTTTCGGTGAGATGATTGCGTGCGATGCCGACGATTGCAAGCGCGAGTGGTTCCACCTGGAGTGTGTTGGACTGCGCGTAGCACCAAAACCCAATGGTATGGAATTACCCCCGTTCATCACCAAGTTGCCGATGGTATCTGCGCCAAACCAAAAAGCGTTTTTATCTCGACTTGCTTGCTAACTACAATTCTCTACAACAGTGAAGTGGTACTGCGAGGACTGCAAGAGGCGGTTAAAGAACGGGGACCGCAAATCGAACAACCGTTAAATCGAGACGACTTGTGCTTCTCATCCCATGAGTCCTCTCTTTTCTCTGCTTAATGACCTACTTGTATACGCTCTGGGTGGAAAGACCTGTTCTGGTTTGGTATTTTTTGTTTTAGGATGTTGTACGGCTCCATCCGTTTGCACGTATATTTTGTTCATCCCTGTTTCCGTTATACTACATGGCGTCCAAAGATGATGGAGTTTACCTGGGGCCTACGAGAGATTCTGTTTGGCTATGTGGCTTTTCTTTCTTCCTTTCTGTGTTTCATACGATATCTCACATCGCTATTTTTGTCCATAGCAGAGGTGATACTGGTCGCGGCTTTCTTTTCCCATTCATTTTCTTCAGACCGAAATACAGAGCATTGGCAAGCAACAAACAAAACATAACATGACGGATTGTGTGTCCAAGAAGGATCGGCCGCGTCAGTTTATGAGCATTGCTCCTTGGTCAGAAACATGGCCGATCATGATTAACCAGACGGTTCGTCTGAGAAATGTAGTGAAAGGAGGTAGGCAGCACATGCAATGTCCGATTTGAAATAACAGACCCCGTGCCGCCTGCGGCCCGTTCACGATGTTTTGCTTTTTTATCTTTGCTTTTTGTGGCTTACACTGACAGCATAGGGGCAACGTTTTGGTAGCGCGGCTTTGCTCCGCAAGGGTGGCCAACTCTGCGTTTGGTGGAACGGGACAGAAATGCTTTTCCCTGCAGCACAGAAGGGGGAGCGGACAGGGGGGCTCTTCACTGGGCGCAGCGGTAAACGATACGAGCCAATGGCGCCAGTGGCTTGGATTCACCTGAAAAATGCTACACATTCGCGTCTTCGCCCTGTAATACAGGGGTCGGCGCCCCCGACACAGACCCAAATGCCGGTTACCTCAGTAGTAACTTCCCGTGCATTCCGGCCGTCCAGTTATGGTCACGAGGCCAGATGGTCACGGGAACATTTTATTGCCAAAATGCACGTGTCCAAGGCAAGAAAGAGTCAGTGCAAGGGAGCCCTTTCCCCTGCCTTCTTTCTGCTTCGTTGCAATTACCCAATCCTCTGCTTTCAGCATTTTGCGATTGATTTGTGATGGCTCTTTCCCCCAAAGTTCCTTCCCTCAGCGTCTCCGTCCGCCGCCCGCATTCTAAATCGTATCAAAGGAACGTGCGTCCCGCTTATATGCTTATTTTGAGCGAAAGAAAGCTCGGCGTGCCCAAGCTCGGACTTGTTACCACCGTCGCCGTGAGCATCACCGGCCGTATTTACGTAGCAAGGGGTTCTGATACCATTTTCGCTAGGCGATTGGGTCCCTGAAGGCCAGTGCCAAATCGGCTTAGAAACTGCATTTATGCAGCCCAAGCGAGAGCGACATCGCACTTGAACTCGCTGTCCTCCGTTGTCGCACACGAAACGTTCAATCAAACAAACGACGACAAACACGACTTTTGCTCCTTTCTTGGCTCCTTTCTTGGCTCCTTGTGGTACCCATCCCGTCTTTACTCTTGATGTGGATGTGCGCGATTGGCTTTACGGTGATTACTGCAGGGCAAGCGCGGAAGGAGACGCACAAAGAGGAAGGCACAGACGCCAAAATCAGATCAAAATGCACTCCTCACAGAAGTTCGGAAGCCAGACGCAGGCCTGGGCCCCATTCCCTTGACAGACCGACTGTAATTACTGCTCAAAAAGGAAATAATGGAGTTCAGGTGTAAGTGAGGGCGGGAACAAGGGGAAGCTCACAATGACCCCTGCTGTAGCTTGCTTCCCGCCCAATGAACGTGTCCTGGCCTGCAATGTGCGGTTTCACTCGCAAACTGTCGGCTGCCTGGGCCCAGCCCCGTGGGCCTCTATTGTGTACTCCGCACAGGGGCAAGTGTGTGTTATTGACTTGCGCGGACGGAGGTAGAGGTCTGGTTTGGTCCGCGGAGGTAATGGAAGCCATCCAACAAGCTAACTCAAACCTTCGTTCTTCGAATGGCAGAGACAAAAGACGTTTGTAAAGACTACCAACTACAACATACAGGATCACATCATCGTACATTTGCTTCGTTGGTGGTCCAATCGAAGAGAACGAGCGGCAAGCGTCGAGAAAGATTGCGCAACTGTGAAGCGTGATTCTTCTGTCCTTTCCTGCACCGAATCGAGCCACGGCCAGCGTTTGCATGTATGGAAGGGAGGCACCGCTGCTGGCACATACTCGAAATCGTCTCACCAGCCTTCGACATGTTGTTGAGGAAGTTCCGGGCGGCGGCAGCAGACATAACAAAAAGCAATCAGCAGATGTTGTCCTGCCGTATTTTGTGTGTCACGTTGTGCTGGATGGAGTAAAACTCAAGTAATGGTTAACTAACAAAAACCGAACGACTGGACGAGACGCTGCCACTGAGTGTAAGAAAGGGAGACCGCAAAGAGCCGCCATGCATTGCAACACCAGCTTGTTCCCCGGACTTGCGAACAGGAGCGAAGTAGCTGTGCAGTGTGAGTGGCTCACGGTTTCTATTAGCAAATCATCAGCCAATCAGGGGTGAATATGTGGGCTGCAAACGTACCTTTGGCCTTGTGCTCAGGTGACCAGAAAATACAGTGGGACGGCGTCTTTTTGCGCAGACTCCTCACACAATACGCCGTGCTGGTGGATTGCCCTTTCTTTGTTTTTCTTTTTCTTATGTTGTACGCCGTCATAGCGCTGTAGCCAAGACACACCAATATCCTGGTGCTGTCCGCCAAGTTACCTGCCCAGCCTGCTCCGGGGCTTATTATTACGCTGGGAACTGCGAGCCAGGCCAGGCCAAAGCGGTTCACCTCGCTGGAATCCACTACTCGTTTCGTTGTTTGTAGTCTTACCGGATGCCCTCCCTTTTTCGCCTCCCTCTGATGTAAATCCCCGTAATAATTCTCTGCTTTCCTTGTCTTTCGTAATTTTTTTCGCCTGTTTTTAGCTCCTACGTTACGCCTCGGCCACTTCCCCAGGCCGCCCGCGAGCGACCAGAGCTGGCCTGATGACTCTAACATTCTGGTAGGCTATGCTCGGATCTGTCACCAGCTGCTGCGAAACCGCAGGACCCTCGCTCGTCATACCAACAAAACCGAACGCCGATAGTGGCGATGACGGCAAGCCCGCCCGCCGTGAGGTTCCTGTTTGTTAGAACCGTACGTCGTATATAGCTAATGGCCTAGATGTAAACAACCTCCCCTTTCATTGTGAATATTGTTCCTGGGCTGTTTGATCGCTCTTTCCTCTCACAAGCTAACAAACCATTCCTGCCGATTTGGATCACTCCATCACACCAACAATACACCACTGCTTTCACCAAAGGCCCAACGATTATCAATTGAGCCTTTCTACCGACGACAGCATTTACACGCCATTCTGCCCAGCTTTGACGTGGTCGACCAGCGGTGGTTCTCACGCAACGTCGCCTCGCCCAACCTTTCTCATAACGTAAGTCGCCGGTATTTTTTTTCGTCTCACCTTCATTCAGTGGGCTTCGGCATGCACCTTCTCCAGTTCCACCATTATTATAATCTTTCACCACTTTGGCTCTTGCGCCTTCCCTACTCGTCCATTCCTTTTCTGGACCAAACAAAGCAATGATCCGGGGCAATTGCCCGAGACACAAAGCAGAGTGACCAGAGTCGAGACCAGAATATTCGATGAAAAGAAGAGAAAGAGAAAAATAAATATCGCCAAAAAAAATCCACAGATTCGAGACAAAAACATAAGCGGCTCTGAGATTCAGGGGCTTGAGGGGCCTCGACCCAGACGATGCAGAATCAGGAAGGAAGTACGTCCAGGTGAACGTCACGAGCACGACGACCATCCGACAGCTCCTTCTGTTTTCAACACGAACAGCGTTTCTATTATTCATAACGGCCATTCGTGCCTTCCTTTGCCTCAATGAGGAAATAGCAACACGCACTGCGCCTGGTCGTCTGGGCGCTTTCCCCTCTCCACTGCTGCCGCCTACAACAAAGCCGGCGAATTCGTTACCTAACAGGTCGGCTTTTTGACTAACAGAAAACGGCTCTGACGCTTTGCTTCGGGCCTCGTGTCACCTCCTTTGACTGTTGCTCGTTGGTTTACATACACACCACCACTAGCACTTGCACTGCCTACCGTACACCCCCCTTGGTTGCGCCTTCCGTACATTGATTTTTTTAAAGTTCTTGCACAATTTCGCCTTTGGGACCATAATATCTGTTACTTCTCTTGTTTTCCATCGTGTACTTCCCCTCTTTCATTCCCTCGATTCTTTCTTTGCTTCTTATTTTTTTCTGTCCTCCTTTCTTCCTTTCTCTGTTTCTTCTTCCTCTCTACCATTGTTTTATCCCACACACCTCCTTCGTTACCTAGACATCCCCGGATCTCAAATCACATCCGTCCACACGATTCACAGCCCAGCCGTCCACGCACCCCCCCATTTACCTGCAGCACTCACTGACAGCTCGATCACTTCTCAGTTGGATCTGATAGACCGCCAGACACGATCCTCCTTGACGCCTCGTGACTCTCCCTGCCCGTCAATTTAATGTACAAATCCGGAGACCTCGTGCACACCAACATTAAGGGAGCGAACGCTCCCGCAAACAACAATAAGATGTCGCCCAAACCTCGCTTTATGAGGTCGCCCTCGCCGGTCGGCCTGGGTCGGTCGTCTTTCTCCTCCATCCGCGAGCGCGACTCGGACCTGGCCCAGACCTTTACCTCTTCCAAGATCTCATCCTACAGCTCTCACAACCTCAAGCACCTGGCTCATGAGGTGGCCGTCTCCGACGAGCCCTCAACGCCCACCTCTCCCCTCTCCACACCGAGCACCACCGGCGACGTCATCCCCTCCGACAGCAACATGCTGCTGCTTCCCAGCCAGCATGGGGCCGTCGAATTTGATCTCAAGGCCAGAGAGAACGACTTGGCCCAGTCCTTGGCTCGTTCTCTGGCCTGGCTGAACACAGGGTCTGCCATGGAGTCCCAGGTGGATGCATCGTCTGTTATTGATCTCACCGACACTGTCATGAATGACGTGGAAGATGTCAAGCTCACAAAGTCGAAGCAGCCTTTCGAGACTCTGCCCATTGAGATCTTCCGTAAGTGGCATATGCACTTTTTTTTTTTTTTTTTTTTTTTTTTGTAACTAGCACCTAGCTAACCTATTATACAGGCATGATTGTGGACCACCTCATCCTTGACACGCCACCAAACGGCATCGACCGCCGCAATGTGGACCTCATGTCACTGCTGGTCACTTCTTCGTCTGTCCACGACAAGACCCTCGAGGCACTGTATCGCCGTGTTATCGTTCCGCACTCGCGCAACTTCCAAAAGTTCTTCACCCAGCTCGAGGCGCACGCCACCCGCGGAGAATGGGTCCGCCGTCTGGACTTTTCTCACTTCAGTCCCGTCAGCTTGTTCGCCACCGCCAGCGCACGCGCTGCCGCCAAGAACCTGACGGCCGAGACTCTCCTCCGCTGCCTCAACATGACGCCGAACCTGCAGGAGTTCCTTGTCCAGGACTACCTCGACGGTGACATTGATGAGAACGTCATCCGGAAGCTGCTTGTCGGCCTTCCGCGGCTGGCGGCACTTGACCTGTGCGGTAGCTCTTCGGTTCAGTTCCGCAACGCCTTTGCGGCGATCGCTGCGAGCGAGGGCGCGGACTCCACGGACTCGACTTGGCCTCAGAAACTCGGTATCCAGCGCCTGTCTTTGCACAAGTGTATCACCCTGCCGTCGACTGTTTTTGAGTTCCTCCTGCCGAAGCTGAACCGCCTGACGCATCTGGACCTCGCCGGCACGCGCGTTACCGACGAAGCGCTCATGAGCATTCCCACCACAGCACGCATTTCGCACCTGAACCTGGCCAAGTGCTCTCTTCTGACCGCCGACGGTGTCATCAACTTCTTGACGAACCACCCGGCTGTGAACCGAGACACGTTGGTCTTCCTCAGTCTGGGCTGCGATGCCTCCACATTCCAGCTTCTTGAAGTTGAGGATGTTTCTCGTCTGCTCCCCATCCTTCCCAAGACCCTCAAGTCCTTGAGCCTGAAGGGTAGCAAGATGAACGAGTCGCATCTTCCCCACCTCCGCGAGCAGGCCGCCCACCTCGAGGAGCTGGCGCTCGGCCGTGGTCTGAGCCTGGACGACGTCGGCACCATCGTGCATATTGGGCAAGAATCGGCAGAGGAAAAGGTCAACAACGACCCTACTCCTCTTCCCCATGAGCTCCGTTACCTGGACCTCTCTGACATAGACGTTGAGAACTTCAACCTCGCTTCTCTCCTCATCGATGGCCTCCTTCTGGGCCAGAAGACGTGGCCTCTGGAGGTTATTGAGGTGTCTGACTCGGTGTTCAAGCGCGTTGCCAAGTCCAACACCGCTCTGCATCGCATGAGCTGGCGCCAATCGGAGATTGGTTCCCGCTCGTGGCTTGTGCGCGGCAGCCCTCGTCCATCTGTTACGAGCGGCCGCGGGCGGTCCTCTCTCCCCGGCTCTGTCTGCACCCGTGGCACGTTTGCCATGGAGAATGGCTCCCGGAAGTGGAAGATGGGTGCGCAGTCCTGGGGCATGCGCAAGATTCCCGTCGCTCACGCCAAGGTCGGCGGCATGTACGGCTCCTACATGTTTGGCCGCAAACTGTAATGCGCCTTATCACCGCCGGAACTTAACGACATGAAATTCTTCACTTGCTGCTTTTTCGCGTTTTTATACCACTACGACAGTTTTTCGGCTTCAATTTTTACGACCAAAAGAAAGACATTAACGACCAGCGAAAATGAGTTCCAAAAGCGAGCGCCGAATGTTTTCTGAATACTTTTCCCCCTTACTTACGAGAGCGTTTTGGAAAGGGACCACAAAAGTGCATTTGGCAAGCGGAACCTGTTTTTGTTGCAGCGATTATGACATGCTATTTGGTCACCATTATCTGGCGTTCTAATTTTTTTACACCAATTACCAACTTGTTTGCGATATTCTGATGGGAAGCCAAGGATGGCGGATTGGAAAAACTGGGATGTGGGATCTGATTTTTTGAAAGTTATTTATTGGCACTGTACGACATAGTTTCCAATTGAATAAAACAAACGGTAAATATCAAATGTCTTGAAGCATGCATAAAGTGTGACGTGATGTCGTTGGAAATCGGAGCAATAGATAATTCACAGTGTGCTGTAATACAGAGGAATAGACACCCAGACACCGTTGATGCAATTGCCTTGTACGACCGTGTTGTATGATTACATAACAATCTGGGCTACACGTGACTTATGCCTGAGGCATCAATACTCGAATGGAGTTAGCGTCTAAACATATGCCGCAGGCTTCCACAGTTGGTACCTCCCCTAATTGCCAGTAAAGAGCTATCTCTACGGCCTTTTCAAACCTCGAAGCTCCGGCCAACCCACGGCGCAACGTCACTCCTTTACTCCCCCTCCCGCCATCCGCATCGAGGGACTCTTGTCACCGGCATCGACCTCTCCTTCGACAGCATTCATTTCCGTTACCACGTCGACAACAAAGCAGACACGACAACCATGGCGCCGGCGGCGCGGGACACGCCGTTCCGCTCGGCGGACATGAGCATGGTGCAGCTCTACATCTCGAACGAGATTGGACGGGAGGTTGTCAACGCATTGGGCGAGATCGGACTCGTGCAGTTCCGGGATGTACGTTTTGCACATCGGTTTGAGGACGGCGGTGGAATCTGGGCTGTTGGTCATGGAGCCCTTGGGTGTGCGGCTGGATACTGACAAGGGATGCAGCTCAACGGCGACGTCAATGCCTTCCAGAGAGCCTTTACACAAGAGATTCGACGCCTCGACAATGTGGAGCGTCAACTGCGTACGTTGTGATGAACATTTCGACTGAGCTGTACGGGGTGTCTGCGGGAACACGATGGAAGGAGCTAACAGATGGGGGACAGGTTACTTTGCTACGCAGATGGAAAAGGCCGGCGTGCCGCTCCGCAAACTCGACCTCGACACCGATTCCCTTGCTGCCCCGAGCACAGCCGAGATCGACGGCCTGGCAGAACGGTGCCAGAGCCTCGAGCACCGCGTCTTCCAGCTCAACGACAGCTACGAGACGCTCAAGAAGCGCGAGGTGGAGCTGACCGAATGGCGTTGGGTGCTGCGCGAGGCGGGCGGCTTCTTTGACCGCGCGCACGGCAACGTCGACGAGATCCGTGCGTCGACGGACGGTGGTGCCGGCGGCGACGACATCGACGACGACGCGCCGCTGCTCAACGACGTCGAGCAGAGCGGCGGGCAGAGCGCCAGCGACCGGCAGCAGCAGGCGTCGTTTGGCGGCATGAACATTGGCTTTGTGGCCGGTGTGATTGCGCGCGACCGCGTCGGTGCGTTTGAGCGGATCCTGTGGCGCACGCTGCGCGGCAACCTGTACATGAATCAGTCGGAGATCCCCGAGCCACTGGTCGACCCCAGCACCAACGAGTCGGTGCACAAGAACGTCTTTGTCATCTTTGCCCACGGGTCGGAGATCCTCGCCAAGATCCGCAAGATCTCGGAATCGATGAGCGCCGAGGTGTACAGCGTGGACGAGAACAGCGACCTGCGCCGCGACCAGATCCACGAGGTCAACGCGCGCCTCAGCGACGTGCAGAATGTGCTGCGCAACACGCAGACGGCCTTGGACGCCGAGCTGGAGCAGATTGCGCGCTCGCTGTCGGCGTGGATGGTGCTGATCAGCAAGGAGAAGGCCGTGTATGACACGCTCAACCTGTTTTCGTACGACCGCGCGCGCCGCACGCTCATCGCCGAGGGCTGGTGCCCGACCAACGACCTGCCGCTGATCCGCACGACGCTGCAGGACGTGACGAACCGCGCGGGCCTGGCGGTGCCGTCGATTATCAACGAGATCCGCACCAACAAGAAACCGCCGACGTATCTCAAGACGAACAAGTTCACCGAGGGGTTCCAGACGATTGTCAACGCGTACGGTACGGCCACGTACCAGGAAGTCAACCCGGCGCTGCCTGTCATTGTGACGTTCCCGTTCCTGTTTGCCGTCATGTTTGGTGATTTCGGCCACGCCGTCATCATGCTGTCGGCGGCACTGGCGATGATCTACTGGGAGAAGCCGCTCAAGAAGGTGACGTTTGAGCTGTTTGCCATGGTCTACTACGGGCGGTACATTGCGCTGGTGATGGCCGTCTTCTCCGTGTTTACGGGTCTGGTCTACAACGATGTGTTCTCCAAGTCAATGACGCTCTTCCCCAGTGCGTGGGAGTGGGATGTCCCGCCCAACTTCCGCGACGGCATGACGGTCTCGGCCAAGCTCAAGGGCAGCTACCGCTACCCCTTTGGTCTGGACTGGATGTGGCACGGCACGGAGAACGACCTGCTGTTCAGCAACAGCTACAAGATGAAGATGAGCATCATCCTCGGCTGGGCGCACATGACGTACTCGCTGTGCTTCTCGTACATCAACGCGCGCCACTTTAAGAAGACGATTGACATCTGGGGCAACTTTGTGCCCGGCATGATCTTCTTCCAGGCCATCTTTGGTTACCTGGTCATGTGCATCCTGTACAAGTGGTCGGTCGACTGGCTCGCCATTGGCCAGAGCCCGCCCGGTCTGCTCAACATGCTCATCTACATGTTCCTGCAGCCCGGCTCGCTGGACATGCGGCTGTACAAGGGCCAGGAGTACGTCCAGGTGATCCTGCTGCTGTTGGCGTTTGCCCAGGTGCCCATCCTGCTGTTCCTCAAGCCCTTGTACCTGCGCTGGGAGCACAACAAGGCGCGCGGCCACGGGTACCGCGGCATCGGCGAGCGGTCGCACGTGAGCGCCCTGGACGGTGACGACGACGACGACGACAACAACAACAACAACAACGCTGCTCTCGGCAACGGCAACGGCAGCAGCAGCAACATCGGCCACGCGCGTCGCGCCAGCCACCTGAGCATAGACAGCGACGGCGGCGAGGGCGTCGGCATGCTGTCGCAGGACATTGGCAGCGGCGGCGGCGACGACGACGAGCACGAGGAATTCGAGTTCAGCGAGGTCATGATCCACCAGGTCATCCACACGATCGAGTTCTGTCTCAACTGCGTGTCGCACACGGCTTCGTACCTCCGTCTGTGGGCGCTGTCACTGGCGCACCAGCAGCTCAGTGCGGTGCTGTGGTCGATGACGCTGGCCCCGGCGCTCAACATGCGCGGCATCACGGGTGTGATTGCCATTGTCATTACCTTTACCATGTTCTTCTCGCTGTCCGTCATCATTCTGATTGTCATGGAGGGTGTGTCGGCCATGCTTCACTGTAAGTTCACAGCAGATGAACCCCCCGTCCTACTTTTATATTCTTTTTTATTTATCCACTCACTAAAACACATTAGCCCTCCGTCTCGCCTGGGTCGAGTCGTTCTCCAAGTTTGCCGAATTCGGCGGCTGGCCGTTTGCGCCCTTCTCCTTCAAACAGCAGCTGGAGGAGTCGGAAGAGCTCAAGGAGTACCTGGGTTGATTGGCCCTGCTGTGGTGTCCCAGCGGTTTGTCGAAGTATCGTGGATTGTTTGCCTTGTTATTTTTTGTCATCACCATCATCATTATAAGAAAGGGTCGGTGGGCGCCACCTGTTGCATAACACATTGGTTTAGTCTCTTCTGCTTCTTTCATATTTTGTTTTGTTTTTCCCGCATCTCTTTTCCCATCTCATTTGTCCTGCTTCATATGTCTACATGTCTCTAATTTTGTCGGGCTGGGAGGCGCAAAGGGCAGACGGTCTTCCTCGCCTTCTTTCTCATCGACTGTAGTTTTAGTAGATCAAATATTCATGCTTTCTTACTCGTTACGTTCTGTGAATTTACTGCACACGTCACTTGAAGCCCAATACTACTGTAGACACGCGGTGCTTCCGTATTAACGGCGGCGTTCGCCTGTGTTTTGCGTTTCAGGAGAATATGGACCGTCAACGCGTTGCTGCAAGTACGGGAGAACGCGAGATGCTTTTCGCAGGCAGACCTTGAACTTCTGGCAATGCACATCTGGGATCGTGCCTAGGCGAAAAGGCGGACGAAATAAGATTAAAATGAAAGCTGTAAATATGCTATAGGGGGTATTCCAAACCAAAACCAAAGAGCGTTTGATGATACAAAACGCAAATAAGCAAAATGACCTAGCGCAATGATGAAACCCCAATGCCGCCAACCCTAAAAAACAATACACTATCCCAATGCTCCCAGCATAGTCTAAATATGGTGATGCCGAATGTGATACGTAAGGAAACAAGACTGCCCTTCTTTTTTCTTCATGGTAGTTTTTCCCCTGTGGTCATCTCGCCAGCTGTACTTTCTTTTCGGGGCTTCCCCAACAACTCCTCCTGTCCATTATGTCTCCTGGGTAGACCGACCCCGTGGTATCATTTGTCTTCGACGTTTCTAGTAGGTGGTTTACATAGGAACGGGGATGAGAGCATCCGCAGGCATCTCGGGCTGAGGGTCGTAGACGAGCCGGCCCCACACGCGCCAGTGCAGGATGCCCAGGTGGGCGAGGCGCGTAGCCATGTCCTCGACGCAACCGTCTTCACGCGGATCGATCGGCCGGGTGTTCCGCTCCATGAGTGCGGCGGCGGCGGCAGCAGCAGCCGTGGCCGCCGCCGCAGCGGCAGACGTTCCCTCGGGAGCACGAGCCGGTGCCGGGTGAATCCGGCCACCGGCGGCCACGACAAAGAGGCCGACGTTGGGCATGGTCTTGTAGTCCTTGACGCGGCGCGCGAGGGCTGACAGCAGGCGATCGCGGAACGTAAGCTCGACCTTTTTCTTGGTGTTGGCGTCCGGGTTCATGGCCGCTTTGAGGCGCTGTTCGATTTGGTCCAGCGGAACGTGCTGCACGCGGTCCACGCTCGACAGGGTCCGGAAGATCTCCACAGCCATTAGAGGCCACAGGTCCTCCCAGCGATCCGCGGGGCGGGCCGTGGCAGGCACACTCTGGAGAAGCGCGACCAGGCACGAGTACAGGTTCTGCGACCGCTGGTGGGCCTCGGCAAAGTCCTCCGGCAGCCGGGGCGGGGCGCCAGCGCCATCGTCACCGAGAGGCAGGCCCGAGTCGCGCGGTGAGGAGGTCGTAGAGCCGCAGGCGCTGAAGTCCAGGCTAGACGGCCGAGATGAGGTCGGCGAGCCCGACGCGGCCGATTGTGGCGGGGTGTTGAAATCAAACTCGCCCGAGGTCGACGAAGGATACGTGGGCCAAGCGTTGTTGTTGGGAGACTGCGACTGGGCGTGCGCGTCAAGGTACGAGGGCACGCCGTTGGGTGCTAGGTGGCGAGACGCACGGGTCATGCTGGCCTCGGCGGTCTGCGCCGCCTGCACCGCCTGCGCCGCCATGGCGGCCCGCGACACGGCAATCTCGTCTGTCTCGGCCATCTCGTACACCTTCATGCAAATCTCCAAGTGGATGGCGTCGAACATGTCAGACCGCAGCTTGACGATGCGGTCTTCGTCAAAGAGGAACGTGTTGGGCACCTGGCTGGCGTCCACCGAAGGAAGCAGGAGGTGCACCAGGCCGCTGAAAAAAACGGCCATGTTGCCAAAGGCTTGCCGATGGCGGATACTAGGGCTGGCAAAATCGGACTTGGCCTGCTCGTACCAGTTGCGGGCGGCCGAGACAGACATCCGACGGTTCTGGATCTTCTTGTAAAAGAAGCGCTGCTCAAAGTGGACGGTGTCCTCGATGAGCAGAGGCCGCAGGCAGCGGATCTGGTGGTTGGCCACGTCAAGTTTCATGGCTTCCAGCACACTCAGCAGGCTGCACATGCCCCTGACGAGCTCGGCGACGTCGTTGTTGCGGTTGCCACGGCTCAGCTCGTTGTACATCTCGTCGACCCAGTCGTCGCGCATCGGGGCGCAGTGCAGCTTGAGGACCGATGACAGCCAGGCAGCCAGCTTCTCCAGATCGACAACGCCACGGGCAAACTGCTGCATCAGCAGCGGGACATTGAGGCCCTCGTTGAGCAAATCACGGTCTCGTGCGGGAACGAGAGTCTGAATAATGTCCTTGACGGCGTTGAGCAGCGCCGGCAGGGACCACTCATTGTCTTCCGGGCCGTGGGCCTTGAGGAACTCGTCGCGGTCGGTCACAAACTGGGTCAGCTCGTCGCGCAGGCTGTCCCAGAACTGCTGCGCCTTGTCCTGCTTGCGGCGGCCCTTCTCACCATCCAAGTTTGGGCGAAAGTGCAGTTCGGGGTCGTAGTTGATGTCGTGGCGGAGCTTCGGGTTGTGGATGATCTTGTTGACATCGAGCTCGCTTAGGGTGGCCTTGGTGACGGGAAGCTCGATTCTGCTGGACCGCTTGCTGTGCGTCGATGACACTTGCTCGTCGTGGTGTGAAGAGTGGCGATGCCGGCGACGGTCGTCAGACTGAGGGCTTGGTTGTTGCTGCTGCTGCTGCTGCTGTTGCTGCTCTTGTTGCTGCTGCGCCAGCTTCTCTGCTCTTTCCTGCGTCTCCAGCTGTTGGTGTTGTTGTTGCTGTTGCTGGTGCAAAAGTTGTTGCTGTTGCTGCTGTTGGCGAAGCAGTTGGTGTTCCAGCTTCAGCTGGGCCCGCCGTACCTTGCTTTGGATCATCGACTCCTGGGCGCGCTGTAATGGCGTTGGTTGGCGTGATGTCTTACCATCTTGTTGTACCTTGGCCGCCAGAGCGGTCTGTGCGTGCTGTGTGTGCTGTGTTGGTTGTGTGGGTTGTGCCTGGCTCGCCTCGTAGGCCATGTTTGGTGATGGCGCGTCAGTCACGGGTGGACTCCGCGTACCTGTTGTGGCGCCGGCTTCTGATGAACGTGGATCTTGTTCTGAGGAGATGATGTTGGCGGCAAAGTTGTTGGCAACACTGCGCTTGGGTGCTGGTGACCCGTGGACCTCGGTGGTCTGCTCTGTGGATGTGGTCTCGTCGGTGGGCTGACCGCGGGAGTGGCCGGATGTCAGGGTGCTGTTGACACCGCTGCCGGCTCCTTGCTCGCTCATTGTTGCCGGTGTCTGCGTGCGTCCTGGTTGTATTTGTCGCGGGCAATGTATGTGCGGGTTGTGTTGTTCCGTCGATGTGCTGTTTCCAAAGAAAAACAGACGTTCTTGTTTGCTTCCAGCCTTCTTGGCTCCTTCCTTTTTAGGCCAGTAAGTGAGAAGATGGCGAGGCGTGCTTCACTTTGCAGGTGTAGGAAAGCGGCGAGGCTGTCGGCAAACGTCGTAGGGAAAGAGGTACGTATGATGCGAGGATGAAGAAGTGATGCGACAAGTATACGAGAATAGGGAATTTTTTTATTAAAAAAAAGCGGAAGGAAGGTCAGGCAAGGGCTGAAGACGGGAAATGAGATGAAGTCGACCCAAGCTGAAAGCTGGGGGAAGCTTGTTGAAATAAGAGGGATAGCTGAGTTTAAAAGGGTGGAGCTGCGAGTTCAGTCAGCAAATGTCTCTGCGGAGTAGGCGTCTTTGTCTGGCAAAGGGTCTCAGAGCAGCAGGGATCAGAGCCAAAAAAACGAGGCGAGACGAGGGTGAGTAAAGGAGAACGGGGGCGGAACAGGTTGAACGGAGCAGAACACGCTGGACAACGTCGGGAAACCGGTGAAGAAAACAAGGAGAAAAGAGCAAATCCAGACGAAACAAAAGCTGGCGGTCGGGCCCAATGGCTGAGGACTGAGGCGAAAAGCAGGCGATTGGGGGTGCGGTGTTCGTTGAGGTTTGAAGGGATTGCAAAATAAGCATGCAGCATAACAATACAAAGACAAAGAAAGCTTTGGCGGGCGGGCCTCTTGAAGGGAATGTTGGGGGGGAGAGGAGGTGGAAAAAGAACGAGGGAAGAAGAAGGGAGGCCAGATTAAAAACACAATGACAGGACGACGAGGGGAGAAACGAGAACACAGCAAGGGGAAGTTGTCTGGGTGCATGTGGCGGTGGCAGGCGAACAAAGTGCGTCGTAGGGGGCCACACATGCGCAGGAGGAAGGAGGGATGCAGTGAATGGGAGACAAGGAAAGAGCGGCCGTTTGCTGTGGGTTGCTCCTTCCCCTACACAAGAAAACAAGAGAGCGTCATCAAAACCGTTCCGGATGGCAAACGGGCAGGTGCATGAGGGACGTGCTGTGCTGTCTATGGCTTCCCGATCTGCGGATGTGACGAAAGACTGTTTGTTCTGTCGCGACCAACAAAAGCACCCGCCCAGTCCTGTTGCCGTGTTGTCCTGATGTGCTGCTGCAGCGGTGCGCGGAACACAAGAGAGAATGGCCGAGTGGTTGGAGAGAAGGGAAGGAAGGAGCGCAGGGGAAACACAGACACACAGACACACGAAAAAGAAAGCAAGAGCAGCGAACGAAAAAGGAAAGAGGAACTATGAGAAAGCGACAATGCGGTGATGAGTAGAAGGGGCGGTCTGAGATGTGTACGAGAAATACTGGCCCTGAACCTTGGCTCCTGCCTCTGAGAGCCCTGCGTGTCGAATGGACGTTGCGCTCAGTGTAATCCGTGGACTGTGTAAGGGAAAAGGGAAGCGAGTCAGCAGCAGAGGCTGCTGGTGGAGCCGATCTTACCTGGAGGAGATTGTTGAGATTGTTGATTTGGATCCTGTTTCTGTTTTCAGATGAGACACCGGGCGGCTACAAATGCGGCATGCGGCGGATTGGAGAGTGGGAGTCAAGGTGCCCTGGAATGCTGTCTATGCGGACTTGGGAAAGTAAAGGGAAATAGGTGAATAAGTGAGACGCCGGGACTTGGTGAGCTGCTGGATCGCTATTTGCGAGGAGAAAGGGGCCGTCGATCGTTTTTGTTGCAACAAAGAGCGCCGGGACCGTGGGAAATGCGTCCAGAGATTGTGCGTGTGACGGAAAGAGAGAACAAAAAAGAAAAAAAAGAAGACAGAAACGATAGCAAGCCCAAGTAAGAGCGGATCAAGTGCGTATGCGAGGTTCGAGAGTCGATAATCAAGGCGACGAGTAAGAGGTGATGCCGATCGGGCAGTCGTAAAGGGCGATTTAAGTCAAAGGAATCCGGAAGTGACTGACTGATGCGATGTTAGACGTGAGGCGCGAGTTGAAGAAAGACGGAATCGAGGTTGGAAAAGAGGAAAAGAGAAAAGTGGAAAGAGAAAGGACGAAGAAAAGAGAAGGGGAAAAAGAAGAAACAGGAGGAAGACAGTCGAGGAAGAAAGTCTACCACATGAGACGAACCGGCAGCCAGGGGAGCCAGGAAGATGGTTAACAAAAAAAGGGAACAGAAAGTTGAAAAAGGGCCTAAAAGGAAAACGACCAAAAATGCGTGTACGGAGTAATTACGTCGTACTCCAAATTGGCACAGGGGAACAGGCACAGGACAAGAGAGCGAGCTCGAGCCTATTTGCACAGACAAGAAGGAGTGGAAGTTGCCAGGGGGAGGTGATTAAACAGGGAGCGGGTAGGCCGATTGTTCCAGAACCCAAGGAAGAACGGAAAGGCGTAAGACAAGAGGCCACTGAGATGGAGCGGTCCCACGATATGGGGACTGCTAGCTTTTGTGTGTCTTTTGTTCTTTTGGGAAGAAAACGAACCTTGCCTCACTTGCTTGGTTTCTGTGTCTGCCACGGCCGGGAAGCTAAGAAAGACTGAGCGGTGGAGGTAAACGGCGGCCGTGAATTAGAGGCGAGCGCAGTGGAAACGACGGTACGAAGCGGAAAGGGGGGTGGATTGGATCTAGACGACGTGGGTTCGTATTTGGCGAGGGACCGGTGATGGACGGACAGTTGTCGTAGCTGCAGACGTAGACGTCGCAGCGGAGTCTGTGGTTCTGTGATCGGAATTGAGGCTGTAGATCCAATGGCGGAGGGAGCAGAGGGGAAAGGGAGAGAAATAGAAGCTGCAGAACGAGATGAGAAAGGGAGAATGTGTGCATCGCCGGGGTGTTATTTAAATTGGCCCGGGCTGGTATAAGCTACGAAATCGGAGCAGGCAGGAAAACGGAGGGGGCGATTCGGCCACCGGGGACGCCTTCTTTGTGCTGTGTTGGTTTGCTGCTCGTATTTGGCTATCAACAGTCGGCCGTTGTTCCGACATGTGGTCGCCAATAAACGAGGCAAAAACGACGACAAAAACGATGCAGGACAGTACAAAGTACATACTACGAACGAACCAGACGACGGCTCGAGTGAGAAACAAGAAAGGAAGAAAGGAGCCACCGAGGGGGGCAAACAGGACGGAGCGCAAAGGCAATCTGCGAGGCAAGGCTTTTGAATCGACGGGGCCAGGACATGCACGACGTACGAAAGGCACTTGGGCTGTTGGCGAAACGACAGTCAGAACTAGCAGAGCAAGAGAGAACAACCAAAAAAAAAAAGAATACGACACCGACGACTTTTCAGGTACGGCAGGAGGCTGTCGCTGCTTGCCTTTGTACCTACCCACACCACCACCAACACCATCAATTATTCATTCCATGACTGCTGAAAATTGAAAGCGCCAAAACGACACCCCCTTTTTTGCATTTCCATTTCCGCCAAGCCCACTCCCACTTACACCCATTTGCCTGCCTCGTTAGCGGCACACCCCCTTGCTCTTGCACCTTGCAGCCGCAATCACACACCCCGTATTGCATTTGCGCATTTCCACTGGTCTCGTCACAAGTTTGTAAATCCGTTCACGCATAGTCCACAGGCGCTGTGCACGCTATTGGGTTCTTGACCACTTGGAGGGCATCCAGGCCCAGCAATTGGCAGCAGTCGTGTTGCATGGCGGCGGCGACACAACAACGACCGCGACAAAAGGACACCGAGAGGCATAAAATTACCCAAATTGTGCGCACACCTTTCCCACTGCACACCCTCCCCTGGCACTTTTTATTTTTTGCATGCACCGGCAGGCTGGAACCCTACAGTCTGGGTCGTTTAAAAGGGACGAGGACAGATGCGCTAGACCCAATGCGGCAACATCTACGACTCGCTCTTTTAAGTACCGCAGTATTTCGTACAGGTACATGGACGAAGTACTGGTGCCAATGCAATGTCGTTTGCGATGCGGAGCAACACAACGGCAACTTTGTGTGTATGTATCAGTGCGCTGTGTACGTATTTTATTAGTGTCAGGACTTGGCTGGTAGTTGGGGGTTGAGATATTTATGGCACACAAATTATTGACATAGATGACAAAGGAAATGTGTCGTGCAAAAACATATCATGACGGATACAACTGCATTTCCACACGGCTGTCAGGCACACGACAGAGATGTGCAAAGTGAGGTATAAAGAGCCAGCGCCCATGTCATCGCGAGACAGTGTGCTGGCCATGTGCTGAGACAGAGACGACAATGCGCAGCAGCGGACGGCAGCCCATTGACGACAAGTTAATAGCGGTACTTGCCGGATGTCAGCAATTCCCTGCTTTACAAAAAGGTTACAAACGGCCGTCAGGATAAGGATACAAACGGCCGGACCAAGACCACGGAGACAATTCGTGACAACGACTGTTGTGTTGACGTGTTGTGTGGTCGCTGCTGTGCGTTTTATTTTGTATTTTTTTTGTCATTAAAAAAAATTCGCAGGTCGTCTGTTGGCAAGAAGACAAATGGCAGAAGGTAAGATACGGCCCAGGACAAAAGGGATTACGACATACTGCAGGTCACATGGCACTTGTGCAACGTGCGCAGGTATTTCTTTATTTATGAGGGACCGTCATGTCTTGGGTGTGGCTTTGCGGGACTTTTTTGGGCGGGGGGGGGGGGGCAGAAGGATTGTGCCTGTGTAAGTGTCTGTGTAAGTGCCCGTATTGCACTGTAGCGCACGCAGGTTTGGGCGGCCTCGAGCTGAATGCATCTTAGCCACCAGCGCACCACTGACGCGCGCATTCCGGCGACCGAGGCGGCGACGTTTTCAGAATTTAGGCCCATGCGGTTCCGTTTAGGAGGATACAGCGGGTTTAGGCGACTTTGGTAGCGCATCTTACCGGACAAATAACCCACAGTGGTTTGGCGGCGGCGGTCCCGGGGGGCTTTTCTCACTCACCATAGCACGTC